TCTACATGTACACCTATAACAAGATTTTCATTTTTCTCGAAGATCATATGTTCACTGTCGTCATTTACAGGAAAATGGCAATCTACGAATTGATCCCATTTTCTTCTCATTCCCTTGAAGGACCACGGGGACGAGGATCTCTCTGTGCCTGATTCTGCAGAGCTTTCTCCTTCTTCTGTCTCATGGAATGTTCCATAAGACGGTGATGGAGACATTGGAATGTGCAGAGCAGCCGCCTTCATTAAAGCCGCTCTGTATTCTTCGTCATGATCCGCAACAATCGATTTCTGCCGCACAATTTTCTGCTCTACCGGAATCTTCATAACTTGGTCTTCCTCCAGCATCAACTGAGTTAAAAAAACGTTCACCACACAGAAAATGGTTTGTCAGAAGAATTAAGCGAAAGACTGAAGTGGTCAGAAGACGCAAACATTCAGAGGTACTCACATCAAAAGCTCTTTGCGATTCCCTTTCAATCCAGATGATGGCGTGATCCGCTGTTATATTACAGGAGAGAACTATCTGCTCAAATCTCCCATCAACCGGAACAGCTGTTCTCACAACAGGAGGATATCTTCCTATTCTGTACCAAGAGCATAGGGATTTCACTTCGTCTTCAAGTTGAAGAAATGATTTCAATGCACAATAGTATGAAGAATAATACCTCAATGGCTTGCGCTCGACGATGTGGTATAACCTACCAGGAGCATATAGACGCCTGGTATCTTTAAGCTTTTTCTCCTCAAATGTGAATGTATCTTTCAAACATGCGAAGCATAACAGGCATGGCAAGCTGATATTAAGATCAAACAAGGCCATGAGATTCTTGTTTTTTATCTTCTTTCTAAACTTGGGGATTAGAAGATAATTAATAACTCTGTTTTGACATTCATACTGTTTCCTTACCAGATAATTGACTTGAAGACATCTTCCAGAGCTGTGGTAGTCCGAGGTAAGAAATCATCCTAGTTTATTCAAAGCAACACGTAAAACGGATCAGAAGAGGCACCTATGCATGTCAAGGGAGGCCAATTTATATATGATCATCGTACCTGTAGAACAACAGAGTTTATGACATCTGCATATGTCACCGCTAGATGGAGAGACATACACCTTGGAGGAGCAATAGCAAAGCATCTTATCCTCTTTCTCTCTATGTTCCCCAACCTACCCCGGTTCTGAATCACGAACAAGACCAGCAGAGAAACAACTCCAGCACCTAGCGAATGCCCAACAAACGTCAAGGAATAATCCGGGTTTGCCTCGAGTAATTTCCTTAAAACCTCATGCTCCTCCTTAAAAACCCACATAGCTGCCTTTAACAACCCGTTGTGTACATAACCTCCATCAAACTTAGTCTGTCCAAGTTTGTTATCAAGCAGAACAGCGTAATCACTCTCCTTAGCCAAGTTAAGCCCCCTTATAGCCAACACTACATCGCCATGGTCATGATCCAAGTAGATCATATATGGCGTCACTCGACCTTGAGTTTGGTCATAGTCTTTCTTCAGGACAACATGATGTGGGTCAATCCCATAACCACCAGGAGGTGCCCACATAGGGTTATGGAGATCCTCCTCATAAACCGCTAGGATCAAACGGCAGAGCCTAGGAACCGGCTCAAACTCATCTGATGTAGCTAATCCCCAATTCTCACTCTCGTGACCTGCTGTGTATAGACATTTCTTCCACACCCAATGGACACAACCCAAGCAGTATACACATTCAAGTACCGGAACACAACACAGTATTGACATTGGAGGAACCTATGAAGCAAGCAAGCATTTCCTAAAGAACAAGTAATGTACAGTTGAAATTGGAGAGTTCCTGTCAATGGGATCGGATTATTCAACCAGAACCCACTGACACGAGATTGATCAGTGTGGCTCAAGAAGCTGTAAGAACAGAGACAGAATCATAAGCTGGTCGGATTACGCTTTCAATTCCAAGATTTGTGTCTGAAACAATCGGGAAAAGAAGAATCTCAGCACAAGACGACCCATTTCAATCGCTGAAGAAGATACATCAAAGTTATAGAAGACAAGTTGAATTAGTTTATCTATGAAAATTCAAGTCAAACCAAATGAAGAAGAAGAAGAGTTGTGAGAGAATCTACTCACCATAGATGCTCGGAAGATCCCATTAGCATCCTCGCAAACACCGGAGAAATGGGAAGACGTGTGACGAGGACTTTATTAAAATCCCCGGGTTGGGTTTGATTTTATTGGGTCCCTCAAGGCTAGTGAAAATAACTTGGGCTTTAAGCTTTAGGCCCATTAAATTTGTCCTTTTCGTAGCTTTTTAGTCAACTCATGATTAACACGTTTTTCGAATTGGTTATTGTGTCCACAGAATCTACCATATACCCAAGGGTACAGGATAATTGCCTCCTTACATAGCGTCACCAACTCCATCTCCAACGTTAAGAAGCGACGTTTCTTCTACTCTCCATCCTCCATGAACACTACTGAATCAGGTATTCATAGATCTTACTTAGTATCGCCGGAGGAAATCAATAAGCGAGTAAAAAGTGATGTTGAACTTTGATTTGTAGTCACGATTCGGATGATTTCATTTTGGTTTGCAGTTATCGAGTTCCTTGGGAATGTGCCCTTGTTGCAGAGGTTACCTAGTTCTTCTCTGAAGAGAATCGCCGAACTCGTTGTGTTCAAGCGTTATGGTCAGTCTGGGATTTTGATTTTGTTGTGATTTATTTCCCGCGAAGTCAATTTGATTGGGAATTCTCGGTATGCTTTGTTGGTCTTGAGTGTTAATCAGTGATTTTGCAATGTGATCTTTGTCTATGTGGTTTGCAGAGAAAGGGGATTATGTGGTTCGTGAAGATCAAGATGTGGATGGAGTTTATATTCTCTTAGAAGGAGAGGTACGGCCGTGAAGTTACT